CATGAACAATGCGCTACTTGCCGTTCGGCTTTCTGACACAGAACGTGGGTGTCGAGTGCGGAGACTTACTCTCACGCACTATCCCTGCCTCGTGCTTCGCACGGAAGAATGCGTCAATGACGTCACACTGCTCTCTCGGCAAAGGCCATTGCCTTGTTACGCAGTATTTGGTTCCAGGAACCAGGTCAATCGCATGACACACGCCTCGTTCCGGAGGCAGGCCCGTCGGTGGGTCTTTCGAGACAACGTCTCCAAATTCCTTCACCACAGGGTAGAAGGGATCCGAAGGATCTTTAAGGGCCGCTTATCCACTTCTCGTGCTCAGCGCCTTCTTGGAGTCCTCTAGGACCGTGTCGTCCACGACGGATGAGGGGTTCAACTCCTCCTCAGATACCAGCCGGTCCACCTCGGCTAGCTCGCCTGCCTTCAAGGCTTCGCCAAACACAGCAATGGACATCTCGTCCAGTTCTAGTAGATCATCTACAGCGGGCAGTGTATCAAGACCGATGTCGCCTTCGACCTTCCCTTCATTATCGAATGTGTACAGGCGCTCACATGAACATCTCGTCCAGCGCTAGCAGAGCATCTACAGCGGGCAGTAGGTCAAGGCGGATTGCACCTTCGACCTCCTCCGTCAACCCATTGACGAGTGTGTACAGCTGTTCACAGCAATCAAGTGGCGTATTACCGCTCGTCATGTTGGACACCTCGTCCGACGTCGAAGACGTCACAGACGCCAGCGTTTTCTTCACCCCTCCCTGTGCGACCAAGCCCGGCCGGATGAGGGCGGTGTGGCGAAATCTCTATCACCACAACCGGGTTCAGCAGCACTATCACTTCTCTAAGAGGTGGTAGCGTCTCGCAAGCCGATCAAATGAGATCTAAGAGGTCCTTGACCCTTACACAGTGAGCTAGGTGTCACTTCACCTGCATCCCTTGGGCCGCGCCCACGATGCCTCGACTCGCAGTCGGCCGCTGCCTTCGGGCTACGCAGTGGTAGGTCACCGACCAGATCAGTACCCCTCAGGGGACTACGGGTCTCTCCGCGGTCGTCCCCACCAGGTCCCAGCAGCTGGGCATTGACCTGACCCGCACCACTCAGCGGATGACGTGCCGTACCACGTACGCCCTCAGAGCAAACAGCGAGCTCGTTGCTAACAATTTCAAACATACCAATGTCCAGCACTACGGTCGCCTCGGCCTCGTGCTCGCGCCAAAAGTGCTTCGGCTTCCCAGCAGAGGTGGGTTCTTGACTCACCAAAGCTCCACTAGGAGCAGGGTGCGACGCACCCAGCGTTTTCGACTTTTAGTCGATCCATGGCGTATGGCGTTCCAGCCATGCCATGCCAAATATGAGATCATACCTCGCATCCAGATCTAAGCCAAAAAGCGTTCCACGCTATCAAAGTTCTTAAACTTCACTTCAAGGTCGACAGAGACCTTCGATACAGTTACCAGTGTCCCCGTCGCGAGACGGACAGAGATCGTAGCTCTCGTTGGCACTTTCAGTGCCTCCGAATAAAGCTAACTCCCTTCCAGTGTGGAGCGACGGGCGTAGTTGCCCGAGGCTCCCGAGTCAATCAAGACTCTCCATCGCTTTGCAAATCCCTTCACGTTCACTTTAACGACCAGTAAGCCCGGCTTGCACTCACCCTTCTCGTAAAAGAGCTCAGCTCTCTTCGATGCTGATCCCCGTTGCCCTCCTCCTCCTCGAGGCACAACAGAGCTCAGTTCTTCCCCAATGGACCACCCTGCGCCTATTGGGAGTTGCCGTTTCCCGGCGATGACCCGGAGGGTTGTCTCGACGAAGCCTCGCGCCTCTTGCCCAGAGGGCATTAGGCCCTCAAGTGCTAAGTGCTATTGTATACAAAGCATCGGTGGATGCCGGCGCGCTGCTCCGCAGCAAGAAGCTTCGCTTCTTCGTCTTCAGCATATCTGAGGTCCATCGGCCCCGGGCCGTACGAAGAGCTCGCGTCACCAGCGCTCCAACCTGGTCGAGTCTACCTGAAGCTGTGCTCGGCATCTAATGCCACATCCACCGCCTCTTAGAAAGTGTTAGGGTGTACACTGAAATACTTTCGTTCGAGCTGCGCTCACACGAAGGCCCTCCATGACTTTTATAAAGACACATTTTCTAAAAATAATATATGTTTTATTATGGTTTTCGTATTAGTTATGCCCGCTTTAATACAATACCTTTTACAAACTCATCTGAAATTTGAAGTACAGCTTTTAGACCCACGGTCATGCTGACCAGTTCCGGAAGAGGGCCCGCCGCCATTCCGAGAATATGAGCTCCATTCTCTTGGACATAGTCCAATAGCTCATTCTTACCCTGCCGGGTAAGAAGGAACTACGACCGGATATGGTACGCCTGATTAGGCGGCGCGTCACGCGCGAAAACTGATGCTTCAGCTGATACTAAGTGAAAAATGCAGCGTCATCAGACGTGCCGCACGTTAGTGCCCATTCGCGAGCGCAACCCCCAAGCCTGGTAATAGCCAGTGCCACGCACTGATGCTCAGACTGGAGCCGGAGCGATCCCTTGGTCATCTCAACCTCACGGGTCCAGAGAATAAAGATTCTCTCCATCCTTCCCCTCGAATGTTCTTACGCTCACCACGAGCGGTTTCAGTCTTGTAGACTCTTCACGCGTCATCGACGGCCGTTGCAGCGCTCTTTTTCCTTGGACTTGCTCCAAGTGCGCGGTCTCGTAGCGAAGAACGATTCCAGCCTGGCGGTGACCGCCTCTGGACCTTGCGACGCCCTCCGGGTCAACCAAGAACATAAGCTTAGTAAGCGTCTCCTCCTGCTTCGGGGGCAAATTCACAAACACGGGTTGCTCCATCCTCGCAGAGGATATAGATATAGTCAACCGACATAGGAGCGGGATTGACTTTAAGTGGTACCAAGTGCAGCGGAGCTGCCGTTGCTTAAGCGTCAGAGGAAGACGCTCGAGTTAAAGCGTCACTAATTCTAAGCTCCTTATCCAAAGGAACTTACAGCACACGACCAGAGCTCAAAGTTAATAGCTTAACTTTAATGCTTAAAACCCAAAGTGTTTATTTACTATTATTGCGGCCAAGCCGCCTAGGGGTAAATGTATCTGTTTAACTATCTAGTATGGTTAAACCCAATCAAATCCATAACGTTTGGCTGTCATCCAACGTACTGATAGATATTGTTAGCTCTCCATCTTATGTACTGAAAGTTTGTTAGTTCTCCGGGTACTCTGTACCCCTGTGTGCTCCACAGCATGTAACCCGGTTACATATCTAGTTTCACGTAGACTGCGTGCTAGCGCTTACGTTTAAAAGTTCACTCAGCTCATACATGTAGCTGCCTGCTCTTTGGTTCCTTAACTGTCTTCTAACTCGTAGATCACCATGTTGATAGAAAAGTTGTATCAGCTTAGTGCTCCAACGAGAGTCCTTGCTTTGATACTTCTTCGCCAACCCATTCGTACATTCCAGCAACATTCAGACACGTACGATACTCGGGTAACATCTACCGTTTGCGCAAACATATTCACTGGCTCGAAGCCACTTCAAGATTTCTACAAACGATGAAATTTAACAAATATATCCAGTATTTTGTCTTCATTGTGTGGCGTTGTGAACGGTCACAGCGATTTTGCGATTTTATGCACTTAAGTACGAAGTCACAAAACCATTGTGTTACTCTAACATTAATCATAAACCTAAGACCGGTGTCCAAATTATTTCTGCAATTTCTGAGTTGGGTTGCTGGAGCGTAGATTATGTTCCTCGGATTTTAATGTTGCGGGATGACACCCTTTACGAACAACTAAATATACTTGGAAATGGAAACATCAATCGGAATCAATTCACTTCGCTCTGAAATAAATTACAGAGAAATGCTTAACGGGGATTGATGCTTAATCAAACTTTCTTTTGTTTACTGTCGAAGTGAAGCATGGGGCAATCTAGCAAGAAAGAAGCTTTGATGAGCAATTATGAACCAGAGCCGAGTAGGCAGGTACGATAACCTGATACACAATAACATCTTGTGGAAGATTCTGACCAGTTTTGACCCCAGCTTTGTCTCAATCGCGCAATGAAGATACACTTAGATGATGGCGTCAGTGAAAGTGCTTTGTTGCAGCTGGAGCTTCCCGGCAACTGTGGCTTCCAGACGGGTTTCTTTATTTCGGATGACGGATTCATTTTGACAGCAAGTCTACCACGCGGAAAAGAAAATTGTCGGCTTTACAAGGCGACTGGTATGCTAGGCGTCACATTTCAGTGTGAATACGTCACGGATATCTTGTGTGCCAACAGAGAGATATCGTGGATGGATATGACTCTCTTACACATTAAGAATGTGGTGCGTTCTCCATTCTTACGTCCTGTTGACGTTTATCACAGCGGTCAACCTATTGCTTTTGTTGGCTTTGGGACCGGAATCGTGAGCTGCGCGCTTAATAGGCGTGGAATATCCGTTCAACTACGTGGTAGATGTGTGGGTTACGGTTCAAAGGCAGGAGCTATCCTTACTGCGACAACGGCCTCTTGTCCAACAGCTTTCACGCCTGACGAACGCGCAAGTGGTGAGCCAGTATTATTCGGATGTCATGGGTACTTTGTGGGAGTTATACCAAGCAACGATGACAAGAGGAAGGGACATCGATTTGGCTTGGTAACGTTGTTTTCAGAAGTCTGGCCTCGGATTAAAAAGGCGATGCAGGATTATCGAGACAGCACACTAGATATGAGATAACCAATCGCAGATCCAGCGCTAGGTACCCGTTTTGATTAAGTGGTCGAGGAAGTGAGGGCATGGATCGCATACAGCAGTGAATAATTCAATCAACATGCTGTAGAATGCTGTAGAAGCTAGTACAGTACGAACATCGCTTAGTTGCTTAAAGTTGCCAAAACATTGGGCGGAGAGAAAATTGTACATGTTACACTTCTTGGGCACTCTGTCGGAGGCTGAAGCTTGTTAGCGTTTGCGTCATTGCCTTCCTCCACTAGTCTTCAAATTTCGGTGACATCGTGCTCCATTTTGGTCAAGTTGAAGTCACCATGATACATGACAAAGTCACCCACTTCGACGTGCGTAACCAACAAGATCTCGCGGACGTGACCGGTACTAGCGGTAAGAGCCTGTAGCATAGCAGTGTATTTAGTAAGACTAGGCACGGAAGCATTTGTCACTATCGACAACCGACTGGGTATATTGGACGATCAAATACTCATCGCCTGCGTATTCCACTCGTCTACAGGATGCTGTGACGCTGTGGAAGACTGCATGGGCGCTCGTCACGGAGCACGAAGACTTGCTACGATTGATAAGATCGACTGTCGGAGGTCCTCGAAGGCACGCTGGTGTTAACTCGAATCGAGTGCTCCAATGTGGATTCATAGGCACTGGGTCTAGGCGAACACCTCCTTCGCCGTCTTCAGTGTCGGCCGATGCTATAGCTACCACCTTTGCGTCTAGACTGTAGCCATACCACAGTGACAGAAACTCAGCGTTGTGTGGAGCTAACGTATATAGCTAGACAAGGCGTTCACTGCGCTGAGCCTGTACTGTTGCTTCACTTTTCGTAGCGATAGAGATAGCTCTGCGCCTGCTTGCATTCCGTTTTGTAAGAATTTCCACTTGGTAGAAGCACAAGCGTCACTCTCTGCAGTGCTGACGATTCTTTGACGACGCAAGTGAGCTGGAAATTGTACGTTTGGTTGTGTATGCTCCATGTTCTTCGTTGTTGTCATCGTCAACAAAGTAACTTGAGGAGTTTGAGGATCTACTGACCGAGAGATCTTTAAGAAATTGGAGGTCCAGTTGGCGATGTACCTCCGCTCGAAGGTCTCGATGAACGTCGTGAGTGCTGTCATACAGATGACGTAGTTCGTGTATAAGATAGAGTCATCCGTTGTAGCAGCAATGAGTTGTTGCAGATGAAACAAGTCGCTAGCTGGTGGGAGGGGTCTCTCAGGAGCCACGTCGAGTGAAGATAGTACAAACGACACTGGCGAGCGTTCTACAGGGACCGAGTGTCTGTAGAAGCACTCCCACACGATATTAGTGCATGTAGCACTGTATAGCTCTGTTGGAGTCGGATGAGGTAGTCGAATGGGCTTGAAAGCAGTCAGAGGAGACGAGTCGTCTACATGGAAGTGTCGATGCCGCTCTAGTGCATCCAGAACTTCTTTAGGGATCGGATACTCGTACAAGATGCGCTTCGTGGTCGGCAGCGCTTCAAGTCGAGTGGACATGATGTAGCGCCCACGTGGTTGCTGTGGCTCTCCCTTTGTAGTGACTACAGCGGTATCTTCGATCGCTGAAAGAGCCACTGGGCGTGATCGAGAACAAACGGCGTGTTGCTCTTCATCCTCCTCGGTTTTGGTGTCTTCGTTGCCATCCAAAGCTGCGATTTCGCTAGACGCAGGGAACTGAGCGCACAACAGCAACTGAGAGAGCTATCTGTGTTTGTCACTCTGGGCTTCATTGATGCTGTCGGTATTAAGTGCGTAATTTATCGCAGAGCTCTTACTACGCCCCTTCGGTGTACGTCGATATAATCGCTCATTGTATGTACGTGGTCGAGGCGAGATGATACTGCTCGGCTTTATTTGGGTCTTTCTTGTATTTTTTGGTATTGTTAAAATCGAATACCGAGTTATACTGACGGTTGCTTAGTGATGTAGCATTTGCGGTACGAGTCTCGTTTCGTGATGATCACGCTAGGTGGCGGCTCGCATTGCAGCTATAGTTTAAAGGGTAACTAGATGCCAGCAACATGATTTCAAAATAGTCATACGTTTTTTCGCGATTTGTGCAGGAACTTTAGCCTTAACTATCAAGCGACTCTGCAGCAGCGTGTCCGACGTGGCAGCTGGTAGAACACCGGAGCTTTACCGTTGTGTCTGAAGCTTTTCCGGTCGTTTTTGGAGGGCTACTTGCTTGTCTAACCCTTGGTCTTCGACGTGTGAGCTAGATCGCTAAGAAGTGAAACCAGTTCGTAATTTACGAGCTACGCAGCTCTGACATGGAATCATCCTAACTAAGCGATTCAATTCAGCAGTACACGATGGTTATAACTGAAAAATTTGCTGAATTCAGAGCTGCTCGCGCATCATCCTTCAGTTTGTCCCACATGACGAGATCGCAAAGGCTAGTGCCTGCCAGTCACCCTTGTTTGCATATGTATGAAAAACTCGAGGGGAAACATTCGACCTGCTTGGATGTATCAAAATGACCCACAATGGTTGCCTTGCAGATGTTGAAAAGATGAAATCAATAAAATACCTATCGTATTTTTGTACGGAATAACTTATTATCTTCCTTCCAATGCTTTATAAATGTGTAAAATATTCTACAGTCCATGCGTCGACTCCGGTGACTCCATGTAATGTCCATGTTTGTAAAATATTTTCATTCGGTAATTTATAACAAATCCAGTCGCTGAGTGCATTTATTGTCCAACTCTCATCCGTGTATTGTCCACGATGTCCTATTCATGTATCCATGTAATTCACTCCTGGACACAATTATACGGCCATCTCGTCGAGTGCCCATACCTCATATTTGACGGTGCAGTTTTCACACAAGTCGCAAAACATGCCTCAAAATAGCAAGGATGTGCTAACGCTCGCGGTTTTGCACTTTGTAGGGAGGCTCACATACAAAAAAGAGATTTGTGCCACCACCATCGGTCCAATACAAAAACCTATATAAAATAAAACATGTGTCATTTTGGCTGACTAGAAATTTGTATGGGTTGAGTTTCTGAGGGCGAATAAATGGACACTAGGGATCGAGAGCTCAAATTAGTTGCATGGGGGTGTACACAATACTGTTATATGTAACGTGTTGCACTCGCACCTCTGCTTGATCAATATTGACCTACGTCACGAGATCATCCGTTGCTGCCTGCGCCGGTCATGTCGCTGACTCCGTCCGCTTCCGCGACGCCTGAAGTGGGTCATGTTGCTGTGTGTGGCCTCCGTGAACGTCTTTCTAAACGTACGTTTATCTACTTGTATATACAGGGTGGATTGTCCAACTCTTCTTCGGATATCGACACTACGGCTTGTGCAGCCTCCCACACGGCTGCAAGCTCGGACGACGCCTCCCCTGGCACGGACGATTTCAAGCGCCCATGTATTGTCCAGGTAATAGTCCATCGCTTGTGGAGCGCCCCGCAGACGTGATGTATCCCGGCTGGTCGACGTGGAATGAGTATTTATAGACGTATTCGGTAAGGACCCGCCGGGGCATCCGCATCCAGTCAACGCTTAGTTGCGTACTGAGAAACAAGCGGCTAGGTCAAACAGCGGCAGCAAAGCAGGGAATAAACGTTCCGTACGTACCCGAGATGTGGGGTGCACATACATATGCACGCATAATTGACCAGCGAAGGACATGAGCAGCGGATTGCGAACCAAGCACTTCGCTCGAGGATGCGGCTGTTCATTTCGATTTGTAATGCAGCTCGTGCAAATTGACGGCGTGTGGTGCCTTCGTGTAACGAACGGTGTGTACCAGCACAACCATGCGGTGGGTGCAGCTCAGCTCAAGCCGTACGCGGAGAGCCATACGTAGGACGACACGGACACGAAGAATGCTGTGGACAGCATGGAGACGTACGGTACAAAGCGCGCTTGCATCTACGAATATGTTATGAAGAGAGGCGAGAACCTCGTCAAGAAGGATGTAAACATTATCGTGCAACGGGTGAAAACGGAGATGAGAGGAGGCTGAATGACGACGACGCTTGCGCCGCAACGCTCGCAGAACTTGCAGCTACTGACGGCAACGTAGTCACGGTGGACGAAGCGGATGCAGACACTCTGGCGTGATCAGTTTGACTTCAAGCCATATGCGGGACGTGGCTACTAGGTTTCCAGAGCTTTTGCTTGTGAACTGTACCCACAAAACGAATCGGTAAGCCCTCCCATGAATTCCATGAATTGTGCAATTATTGGTCCATGCATTGTCCGTGTTTATCTTAATCTTCTGCTCGTGTACTATCCAATTCGTGTCCATGTACTGTTCATTAACTACAATCGCCAGCTTTGTACCTTTCTGATGATAGACGACAACGGGCGTGGGCAGTCTGTGCAACAATCGTTGCTCGAACGATACGCCGATTGGCATATGTCCCGTGCGCTGGATCATACATTTCGGGTTGACCATAAGATTGGCGACAAGGTCCAATTTATAAGGGTCGACAAAGATCTGAATGAGATCCGCGTGTTGTGTAGGCACTTCCCTAAGTCGCGCGTGTTTATTTGTCAAAGGTCCAGGAATCACCCACTGAAGCAGATGTAATGCACCGTCCTGTAAGCTTTGGGAGCACGCATTGGTGTGCAATTATCGTGGATGGCAAGCGAAACAATGTCCTGTACTATGACTCAATGAACCTGAAGACGTACAAGAACGTTCTGGGCTACTACACTCAGCGATTAATTCAACGCTGTGTCCGTCAACGCACCGATCCAGACAGACGGATACTGTAACGGGCCAGGTATTTACTCCGTTACTTGCTTACACTATAGTGTTGAGGAAGCTCGCAATAGGACGACTGAGTCTTAGGTTTAAGGAAAAATCAACTCTGACTTTATTTTAGGACCAAGGCCACAGCCCTGGCCACTCAAATACACGTCATCGTCCAATTGGCTAATAATGGGTCTGGCTCCCCATATATCAGCCAATGGCATGACAGCATTTCAGCACACGCTAGTCGTGTGCTGATGCACCTACTTTTGTAAAGAAATCTACCTACTTATGTAATGGAGGGGCCCATTACATTACCCCCCCTCTTAAAGTTGCACTTACGCAACATAAGCAGTGGGCGAAGAACAAATCAATCTGCGTGAGGATGGCGAACGGGGACTTGGCTAACGGGCGGAGCGAAACAGAGACGGAGACATCTCCTGCGAAGCGCAGGAGCGAAATAACTCGACTTGCGGAGAAGACGACGAACAGCACGATGGATCAACAGCGGACGGGGACACCGACGACGGCGACGTCGTCGACCGCAGCGGCACGGGGCACGCGCGTGATGGACGACCAGCTCCGGGCATGGGCTCTCTATGACATATCCGGAGCGCGGGCTCCGGACACACTGGACACGATGAAGGATCACTTCCGGCGCTTCCGAGGACTGCGTCAGAAGCCTGTCGAGGGTGTCGCATATGGCGCATTGCAGGAGTCGTGGTGCGCCTTCATCCGGCGTTGGAACCGGACGCAGGAAGAAGGGGAGAGCTTCGTCGGCTGGCTGATGTACCGCGAGGAGATCATCAAGGAGCACTCGCTCACGGAGCTCCGTGAGCGCGTCTGCACCAGCGCATGGGAGGACATGCGCCGCATCTGCTACGTGAGGGTTGCTGAAGGTTGTGGCACTTGTACTGGATCGCGTCCGACTGTCGAGGAGTGGAGAAACCACATCGCCGAGTATCCGCTCGGTGAACTAGGATCGAGAAGTATCGTCGCTCGTTGGCCGAGAACGTGCGCGCCTCTAATCGCGCCGGCTCACGCCGACGCCCTGCACGTGAAGATTCTTGGCATCGGACTCGGTCTCGTTCGCGCGGCCGCTCAAGTCGTCGTTCTCGATCACGTTCGCGTGGTCGCACAAATCGCAGATCTCGGTCCCGTTCACGTGGTCGACCAAGTCATCGGTCTCGATCACGTTCGCGTGATCGCTCGAGTCTCTCTCCTCGTGCGAGCTGGCATGTGTCACAAGGTGGTTTGCAGCGAGGCTGGACTCATACGCCTGGACCACATTCGGGACGTCCCGAAGGAGATTGGCGCGAGGCTCCCACGTATCCTCGTCGGGAGGAAACCCGAGCCAACGTACCCGATAGCGACGGTCGGCTGGAACATCGTGGGCGAGCCCACGATGACGTTTGGGAGCGCGAAGTGGATCTTCGTGGGCAACGATGTACTCAACAATCCAGCGGGTATCTCCGGCAGCGTCAACAACAGGAGGAGGGCCGTCGCGTCGATAGCACTCGCGCTCTGGCTGCCCAGAGCGAGAACGACTTGCTGAACAGCTACTGGGATGTCCAGCAGGAGTTGGATGAGGCTCTCGATCAGACTGCCCGGGCCACCGGGGAGAGTGCGCAGCTGCGTCAGTCGAACCGAGAGATCCTTGCTCGGTTGCAGATGCTGGAGAGGTCGGTTCACGGACGTTTGCAGACGGGGACGCAGCCTCGAGATCCGACTCCTGGTGCGGATGGGTCGATGGCTCGCCGCGCCCGTCGAGAAGGTCGCTCGACGCATGCTCCGGCTCAGTAGCCTGAGACGACTCTGGAATCGTAGCGGGGTGATACTTCTTGAGCCGTCCGACGTAAAACGTCGGATGCACACGTAGTGACGTAGGAATGTCAAGCGTGTAGGCATCACCAATGGCTTTGATTACCGTAAATGGCCCAATAAAGCGCGGCGCGAGTTTGTTCGCGCCGAGGTTGGTAACCGCAGAGTTTCTGATACCTTCAGTCGACAGGAGCACGCGTTCGCCTGTCGTAAACGTGGCCGTGTTCTTGCGGCCGATCCTATCGGCGTTCTCCTTCTGCTTGTCCACTGCATCCTGCAGTGCGTCTCGAACATAGCGGGTGACCGCTTGGCGCTGTAGTACGAAGTCGGAGACGACTGCGGAGTCGATTGGTCGCGCCGCATGCTTCGGCGCGTAGTTAGCTGGCGCAAGTGAGCTCGATGCGGAGCGTGTCACTGCGTTGACCGACGTGGGAACAGGGGATACACTCGAGATATCATTAGCAACCGGTGTATGTACCGGTTGACCCAGTACCGGTGTAGCCGCCGGAGACATCGCAGATGGAGTCGACGGCTTGTCGGCAGCTTCTTCCCCACCCAGAGTGGAGACACGCGGCGCTGTGGGATGGCCCACGGCGAGGAGAGCAGGGACACGCGGGTGTCGCGCGTTATTAACGAAGAAGGGCGTCAGCCCAGTCGACGCGTGTACCGCGTTGTTCAGAGCGAACTCGGCCAATGGCAGAAACGAGCTCCAGCTGGAGAACGACGTCGCG